GTGGGGCGGCCACCACGGGGACGGGGCGGGGCGGCCAGACCGCTGGAAGGGTGTGGGGTCTGCCCCGCCTCGGCGGCGGGGGATGAAATGAGGGGTTTGGACCAGGTGGTTCTGAGGGTGGCTCCTAGACTTAGGCTTCGCTCAGGCCGGGCGGCTGAACCACAGAAGCGGCCAGAGCTTTCTTGGGAAGGCAGGGGTTGGGTGTCTGGGGCTTCAGATTAAACCCGGAGAACTGTAACTGCTGCCTCAAGGGAGGCCCTAGGGCCTGCCCTAGAAGTGCGGGTGGCAGGGTGTTTTCAGGACCAGCCGCGTTCTCTCCTTCCGCCGGGTACCTGGGGTTGCGCTATCCTGCGGGAATCGCCACTCCCTGGCTCTTCTCTTCGCTCTTTGTTTAATGGCCTAGCCTTTCTGAGACTGGAACCCTCGGTATAGAGGGGAGTTTTTTTGTTTTTTGTTTTTTTACTTGCCCAAGACCACAAAGTTGGGAGTCAAGCCCAGAGTTTAAATGAGGAGATCAGAAGCTTCTCTGACTAGGCGTAGAAGATCCCCATGAACCTAGGGAAAAAGACCTTTATGATCCAGATTTGAGTCTTATTTACATTTGGTTTATTCCCATGGAAAGACATAAAGCATTCCATGGTAGTTGTCATCATTCAAAATAAACACTAAAGTTAACAACACCTTTCTTTGGGCATTATTCATATAGTCTATATTTGGCCCAACTTCTTGTGAAATACTCCCTCTTTATTTTATCATTTCAATAAAAAAGACATGTCTTGCTGAATTCATGAACAATTCCCTCAATTAATTAGTCTCATCACATGAATATTGGATGTAATTTGGACTTGTCAAATGATATAGTTCACCTATACTCCTAACCTTAAGCAAGTTGTATGACTTCCATATACCTGAGTGTATCTGCATAACATGAAAGCTTTGAACTAGGTAAACTTTCAACCTTATTTCTTATTTAAATGATTCTATGAATTCTATTAAAATGATCTGTGAATTCTGTGACCTACCACCTGCTTCCCCCCCTCCCCCCACTCTGCATGTTTTCTTTCTCTTTGTCTTGGGGATCTATCTCAGGGCCTTATGTGGCTATACTCTCTAGCTCTTAAACCCACTCACCTCTCTGAGAATGGTATTGAGAATAGACAGTAGAAGTCCCTTTCACTACATTAGCCTGGTTTGAAAATGCCAGTAATTTCTGAACGTCTCTTTTTGGACAGGAAAAACTCTCTGCCCTGAACTTTTTTTTTTTTTCCTCCTTGTGAAAGCAGCAGACGCTGAGCAGCAACAGCCTTTGGAGAGATGCTGAGTTTTTCTTGACTTCTACAGTGATAAAGACCCTGAAAAAGTTACTACTTCTGGCCTGTGTGGCCATCATCTTACCACTCATCCCCCAAGACAACCCAGCCTGAACATTAGTGCCTCCCTCTTTATTCCTCTGTGATCATCCAGATCAATGCTTGACTGTTTATTTTCAAATTTCACAAGCCCAGCCCCAGATCTTCATATTCTGGTTCTCAGCTGCTCTTGAAGGTGAATGAAGTCTTGCTGTTTAAAATCTGTTTTTGTTTTTTTTTTAATGATTTTTGCCTATGCATGGAGGTGGTTTAGGTTATTATATGAATGTCTTGTTTGACTTAGTTATAGAGCAGAGAGCTCATTATTCAGTTAATATGTTAAGGAACTAAGAGCATAGTGAAAACAGTTAAAATCTATGCCATAGGGGGCTAGGGATGTGGCTCATGCAGTAGTGCACTTGCCTGGCATGCGGGCAGCCCGGGTTCGATCCTCAGCACCACATACAAACAAAGATGTTGTGTCCACCGAAAACTAAAAAATAAATATTAAAATTCTCTCTAAAAAAATCTATACCATAGAACTTACATTCTGATGGGAGATAAATGTATGCTAGACTGCAGTAAGTATTTTGGGAGAAGAGAAATAGTGCTAGTATATGTTGAATTGTTGCTATTTTATATAGGATAGTCAAGGTGACCTTTGAGCAGAATGTGGATATGTGCATTGAAAGGGAACAGTGGAGGCAACAGAAGTTTTTTAGGCAGTTGTTAGGGTAGCTTTGCTATCTACCATTTAACCCTTCATAGTTTAACAGATGTTTTGTTTTGTTTTTCCCTGCTGCATGTGGAGTCTTTAGTGGGGCAAAAAGTTGCTTGGTATACAGTTAGAGGTCTTTAGGAGTAGAAACAAGCAGGAGAAAAGGTTAGGGGTTAGTGTTTTTTTTTTTTTTAATGCATTTGTTGGGATCATTATGGATTTTTTATTTGGGGACTAGGTTCCAAGATGATCCCAGGGTTATTTTGTCCATAACAATTCAGACCATGTTTATTTGAGGATGTTCAGTATTGTTGAGGACTTTGTTGGATATGATTGTCGCATAATGGCTTATAGTAATATTGATGTTTTAAAAAACATAATGGCTCACTATTGAGAAATGACGGAGAAAAAGAGTGATTCTGGTTCTTAATTGTGGTGAGGATTGGTATGGTGAAGAATATTTAAAAATGAACTGGTTAGACAGAATAGCATAAACATTTGATCTGCCATCATCACATTTGGCTTTGAGGTTATTGTAGCATTATGAAGTAGAATAGATCCTTGTTCCAATCCCAGCTCTGCCATTTGAATTTAATGGCAGTACCTTATGTTTGTATAGTGTTTTCATGGTTCATTATCTTTATTTCATTTTATTTTTTGGTTCCAGGGATTGAACCCAGGAGCACTTAACCACTGAACCACATCCCTAGCCCTTTTTAAAGGTTTTTTTTTTTTTTTTTGAGACAGAGTCTCACTAAGTTGCTTAGGGTTGTTGAGGTTGGCTTTGAACTTGGAATCTTCCTTCCTCAGCTTCCCTAGCTGCTGGGATTAAAGGCATGCACCACTGTGCCTGGCATCCCCAGCCCTTTTTATTTTTATTTTGATGTAGGTCTCACTAAGTTGCTTAGGGCTCATCACATTGCTGAGACTGGCTTCAAACTTGTGATCCTTCTGCTTCAGCCTCTCAAGTCGCTGGGATCACAGGCCTGCACCACTGTACCTGGCATTGTTCATTACCTTTAAAGAAAGACATACAAAAGTGAATGTGTATACATGTAAGTATATCTCTTTACATGTAATAAAAGTTTACCTGTGTGTAAGCCATCTAGCTATTAAGTGGTGATAACTAGTTGTTATATGCTTTCCACAGAACAGTGACCTGTTACCACAGTAGCAGAGTCTGATATCCCCGGCAGATCTCCAGTTGCTTCTAACATCACCTCCCTCCCTTATCTCCCTTTGTGGCCTCCTAAATGCCCATCTCGTTGGCCTGGGGTCAGTTGGTGGTATGGAGGGGTGCTGCCTAGCACTGACCTGGGAGTGTGTGTGACCTACTGACCCAATGGTGAGAACTGACTCCTTACTTCTTCCAACTAATCATCCAGTGGGTAGAGTAGACAATGTGCTGACTTTATCTTTCCCCAGTATTTTCTCTCTTGCCCTTTTGGAAGAGTGTGCTATCTGAAGTTAAATAAAGGAGAAGGGGCAGGAAATAGTATTACTTGGGGGAGAAGTGTCTGTGTGTTTATGTGTTTCCTTAGGGTAAAAGGGGTGAGTTAAATACATTAAGAGATAGAAACAGAATAATGAGATAAGAGAGCTTACGTATACTTGGGTGCTTCCTTGGGTAATGAACTAGAAGAGGCCAGCTTATACTACAATCCAGATATACTTAGAAATCAACTTTATCATTGAAGTCTTTTGTGTCCCTCCCTCATTGGCTACCAGAGCCTTGATCATACGGAGAGTTAAGAAGGCCAAAATTCCTCACTATTTTGTTTCTCAAGTTAGAGCTGTGCCTTGGATATGATCAGATTCAGGAAGAGATAGACTTGGTAAAGGGTGAGGCAAAAAGTGTAATGGGATTAAGGCTTTAGTTATTCTACCCTAAGGAACCTTTTCCTGTTCTGTCACCCCACCATATTCCATGGAATGAAAGGGACTTGAGAAATAATTGTATCTTTATTTCTCATTATTAGGACATCAAAGGCCAGTTCTGGAATGATGATGATTCAGAAGGAGATAATGAATCAGAGGAATTTCTCTATGGTGTTCAGGTGAGGTTATATTCTTTATAATATTCAATGTTGGGTGGTCTTGATTTTATTCTCTGGATACATCAAGAGTGAAAGAAGTTGTCCTGGAGCAGTGATGAGATGAGGATATAATGTTGGTATGATCTAATTATGGTCTTGTCAGAGCTTATCCCATGTCTTTGCTCCCCTAGGCTGGGACTTATACCTGTTACAGAATAAACTACATCCTCTGTAAATGAAAGCCATATGTATTTTCTTAGGTTTTTTTTTTTTTTTTTTTTTTTTACTTATTTCACTAGCCAGTGAGGATTATTCATTAGGGTCAAGTCTTAAAAGGACACACTCTTGAGCAAAAATGCTCACACTTTCAGAACGCTCTTCAGATAGAACTTACTTGAGTTAAAATCTGTACCCTTTAGCCTATCTGAGTTTTAGCAGGTCAGTGCCTGAGAGGAAAAGCTAAAGATTTAAAGAATGTGAACTCCTCAAGAAAGGCTTACATTTGGTCTTCAGAAACTTTCTTAAAGTGGTGATGTAGGAGGAAGGGATTTGTCAATAAAATCTCTAGCTAGGGCCACCATCAAGAACTCCTTTATATAAGTAGCTTTCACTTCCCTGTACTGCTGCTGTTTGTATCCCTCTGTTTCTGGTGTATCTTCATGTTCTTTTTATTTTTGTCTGTCTTTCCCTGTTTATATATCCTTTTCCACCCCTCCTACCACCCTACATTTTCTGTTGCTGTCTTAGGGGAGCTGTGCAGCTGACCTGTATCGACACCCACAGCTTGATGCAGATATTGAAGCTGTGAAGGAGATCTACAGTGAGAACTCTGTATCCATCAGGTAGGACTCTACTTCAGGATGGCAGGGGAGCAAGTCACTTATTTTTGAGTTGTTAAAAGGCTAAAGGTTTTTTTTCTTTTTATGTTGTGATAAGGGGATAAATGGTGAGCTTAATGATAAAATTTGCCCAAAATACTGATGCTTGGCTAACAGGAGGTATTGGTAGTTTTACTAATACTTTTCTTAGACGTTCCCTCTTAGCCAGGGGCACCTACAATCCCAGCTACTGGGAAGGCTAAAGCAGGAGGAATGCAAGTTCAAGGTCAGCCTTAGTTGCTTAGTGAGACAGTGTCTCAAAAATAATAATACCATAAAAATAAAAAGGGCTAGGTGCTTGTGGGTTTAATCTTCAGTATGGCCAAAACAACAACAACAACGATAATAATAATAAGTAAATAAATTTTTTCTTATCCTAAATTCCTGAAAGTCATTAATTTTACTTTTGATGTAAGAAGAGTTTCTGTTCTAGAGAAAGCCCTGATCATATAAGTGGCTTGAGATTATCCAGCTAAGACCCTAAATACAGACTGTATTCTAGCCTTTCCTCTCCACTGTCCCCAGTTCAGTTCTCCTTCTGTCTCAGTTTCTGTTCCCTTCTTTCTCCCTTAATGAGACTCACCTGTGGTTGCCTGTATCTCTGTAGAGAATATGGAACTATCGATGACGTGGACATTGATCTCCACATCAACATCAGCTTCCTCGATGTAAGTGGTGCTAGTACCTGCCAACAACATGTCTATCTGGACTTGTGGATTTTGTCATGTAGGCCAGGAGTCTTGTTCCTGAGTGCTGTATTTGGAGCACAGGTTCTTCATCTCTGTCTTTCCTAGACCATCAGCAGACAGTGGTGTGTACTGTCATGTGCATGTATGTGTTGCATAGGGGAAACTTCAAGTCCATTCCAATTGTAAACTGGAAATTTTCCCTTATTCTTTTAGGAGGAAGTATCTACAGCCTGGAAGGTCCTCCGGACAGAACCTATTGTATTAAGGCTGAGATTTTCTCTCTCCCAGTACCTTGATGGACCAGGTAAAAGCAGTGATTTGGGCAAGTGGGTACTCTGAGTGTGGTCTAATCTAAAGTTCTAAGTTAACTGAAGTAGAAAAAAACTAGGAGTAAGGCCCTTGGGCTCAATCTCAGCTGTTGATAGGGAATTTTCAGTTTCATGTCATTGATGTCTTCTTGATAGCTATCCCTTAAAGGCCTTCTTGGTTAATGAAATTGTTTTCTAGTTCTAAGATATCATTTATTCTTCCCTTTCCTTCAATTTCCTACTGAGAATATTTGAAATTGATTAGAGAGCTTCCACAATCTATCTACCTCAGAAGTTTTTCTCTTCCACATTATTATTTAGAATATGCAGTAGCTACTGTTTTTAGACTGTGAGGAAATTATTCCACTGAACTATGACTTTTAACTCCAAGGAGGATAGAAATATGTATACACTAGGAACTTTCTCTTCTCTTTGCAGAACCATCAATTGAGGTTTTCCAGCCATCGAATAAGGAAGGGTTTGGACTGGGTCTTCAGTTGAAAAAGTAAGAAATTTGATTTTTTTTTTTTTTTTTTGGTCATGGATATGTGAGGGAAAGAGAGATGGACACATGTGTTAGTCAGCTTTTTGTATCTGTGGTAAGATACCTGAGATATTCACTTTGAAAGTAGGAAAAATTTATTTTGGCATAGAGTGTTAAAGATTTCAGTCCATGATTGCTTGGATCTGTTGCTTTGGGCCTGTGGTAGCATAGTACAGCATGGTGGGAGTGCATGGTAGAAGAGGCCTGTTCACCCAATGGTGGAAGGGAAGAAGGAAATAAAGAAATGGAAAGTGAAGGCCTAGGGTTTCAAAATCCCCTTCAGGGACATACCCTCTGACCCTAACTTCCTCCCACTAGGCCTTACTTTATAAAGGTCACATTTTTCAATAGTGCCATAAGTTGGGACCAGACCTTCAACACACACCAGACTTTTGGGGGACATCAAAAATGTAAACTTTAGCAACACATGTGCATGGACAGAGCCTTGGATCGAATGTTTCCTTTTTAAAAATACCCTTTTGAAATAAGCCCAGGAAAAACTAAGAAACAAATTTTGGTAGCATTATTTATGGTTGTAAAAGGGAGCCTATGGTTCTTGAGTATCAGACCTTGAGAATTCCTGGAAGTTAAGGAGTAGTTCATCACTATTTAGCATTTAAAGAAAGGTCAGGCATGGTGGCACATATCTTTATTCTCAGTGAGGCAGGAAGATCTCAAGTTTGGGGGTTTTTTTTGTTTTTTTTTTTTGTACAAATTCAATGTTTTATTAGTGTGAATGTGTGTGTTTTTTTTGTGCCCTTTAAAATTTTTACTTGTAGGATTGCAAGTTTGAGGCCAACTTCATGTAACTTAAAAAAAGGACATGGTCAGATTAAATTTCAGAAAAAGTATTCTGGTAACTTTGTAGTGGGACCAGAACTAGTTTAGTATGAAGCTTTTATATACCCTTAGACATGAAATGATGAAGGGCTGAGCTAAAATATATCTGTAGATTAGAATAGAAGTGAGAGCTGGTTCAGTGGGTAGAGCACTTGCCTAGGCTTAAGTCCCTAAGTTCAGTTCTTACTAGTAAGTGAACAACAAAAAAAAGAATTGCAAGAATGGAGATGAAACAGAATGATTTTGGGGGTATAAGTCAATAAGACTGGGCTTAGATATTTTGTATACATTCGTAAGAGCCAAGGAGTAGTGGAAAATTACTTTAGATTTCCA